AAAAATTTATTCTTACAAGACAAAATAAATACGACAAAGTAGATAAGCTTAAGAAGTACTGTATGAATACTAGTGATTACTATGAAGTTTGCATCAAGAAGTGAACAAATCGAGCACAAAATATTGTCACTCTATAAACTTTACAAATTTAACTAAATTTCTGTTCTGTAAATAATACGCCTTTACTTCTATTTTGGATATCATTGCATATTCGTTGCATGGTATACAGTGTTGAAATGAATTATATAAAGTTTTTTGTGGATAAATTGGATTTGGTGTAGTGTTCATTTTTGTGATTTTATCCCATTTTGAGATTATTTTTTTGCTCTTTTATCAAATTATAACTGAAAGATTTTCAGACTTATTTCGAAAGTATAAATATTTTTGAATTAATGTTATTATTGTTGGCGATTTTTGTACTTGTATCAGCCGCTATTGCTGAATGGTTGATCAAATTTTTTGGCATTGATAGCATTTACACATTCTTTAAAATTTTAACGGATTTACGAGATGGAAGACGATCACATTGGTTGTTTGATCTATTTCAAGTGGAGTTTATTTTGACATATTAAGATATGAAAGTTATGGTAAAAACGTAAAATAAACTCATGAATGTGCACTAAATTTTTGTTGGTGTAAGTAAACGAGCTATTTGCATTGGTTTGTCATACTGAGCTTTAACTTTAACTGCCAAATCATGCATTTCTAATGATGCATTTCAAATTAATTATGATTACTTTTCCAATAAAATATGCTGACTTAGGTTGATGAAGAATCTGATTGCCATGGTGGACAATTAGTTGCTCTGGTGTTGAAAGTATTATTTTAATGTTTACTTTTAAAATATATGCTGCAAAATTTATTTTCTTTAGCGCATCTATTCTTTCATTTTGTCATGTTTTTTATCTTCTTTCATTTATTTGTTTTTAAAAAAAGAACAAAAATCGTCTATTTGAAAAGTGTCTCAAAGTTTACATTCACAAAGTTTACTCATACAGTTTACAATTTTTTTATTCCTTCGAATGCTATATGTAGAAATTAGCATTTTTGTTGGTATTCAAAATTGATTTCAATAGATTTATTTTCTAGGAACATAATGTAAAGGAAATATTCACCCTCTGTGGTGGACATATATCACCGTTGCTTGTTGCTGTTGAAGATATTGGCATTCGTGTGATTGATACTCGTCACGAAGCGACTGCCGTATTTGCTGCAGATGCTGTCGCTCGTTTACGTCAAAGCATTGGTGTAGCAATCGTTACAGCAGGACCAGGTAATGAAATTCTGAGTTTGTAAGTTTTTTAGTTTGATGAATACATTACGCAATTTTGTTCATATCATGTTCTGCTATGATTGTTTCATTTATGAAGTCAAGTGCGATTAATTATGATCTCATTTTATGAAATATCGTGATAATGTTACAGAGTAGTAAGATTTTAGAGTAGTAAGAAGCTATAAATTATAAATGGTTGAAAGCTTACTCATGGATTAGATCATGTTTTATAATCTGAAGTCACTATTAATTAATTGAACGATTATATTGTTTGCTATATGTTCGTTACAGTAGGACATGTGCTGTAAAGAATGCTGCGCTCACTACTTATACTGTTAAACATTGCTTGTTGATTAATTATAAGCAGTTTATAAGCATTAATACAACTTTGAGGTTTGTGAGAGTTATGCAATATTCCAACTACAGCTAGTTCTTTTTAACATTTACAATCGCGTGCGTTTCTACTACTTAATCTTGATTTTTTTATCTTTATTGATTCAAGCATTTAATGGAGTATGTGTCTATTTTCTGGTACGTCCTTCTATTGTTTCATTGTAAAAATTACTTTTTTTATTTTTTTAATCGATCTTATACATGATATTCACAAACCGCATCAGCTTCTCAAAAATATATGGGAGACTAAAAACTTGTGCACTGTTGTCACAAAGATGTAATAAAAACTTTTAGTGTGCAACTACCAGCAAACCTTTATCAGGATTTACAATTCCTTTGTAATCCGATATCCGTCTTATTACTGGTACCAATTTTGTTGCGGAAGGTTTTTAACACCCGTTCCTTCTTTTGCTTGTTATGAATAGTGATGTGTATGAAATCGAAAATTCTTTTAAAGAAAGTAATCAAGCATAGCATTACTACGAAGATTTTGCGAAGTTAATTTTTTGCTTTACAAAATCCGAAACACATCCAGGTCTAATTTCTCCAAAGTAATTACCAAACTTTGAATTATTGATGAATTATTTTATGTCGTTATTAAAAACATCACAGCAGTTTATTCGCAGTCAAAAAAAGATATGGAAATTCATAGCATGCAGATATTAGAATGGAAAGCATATTTAGTTGCAACAAAGTATCTACTATGAAAAACTCTTCTAACTTGATCCTTACTCATTATCATAAATTACTCTGCAGGGAATGGAGTCTTTGCTTTGCATGTTATGAAGTGTATACTCATTTGCACCACAATCGATGTTTCCATTTAGGTTTAACCAACACGATTACTGCCGTGAAAAATGCACAGTTAGCCGAAACTGCCATTCTTATTATAGGAGGTGCTGCTCCAACGATGCTGCAAAATCGTGGTGCATTGCAGGTTGCTACTAATTGTTTATTGTGAACAATTCGTGTAATTTAGGGTTTAGAAACATGATGTTTTAGTAAATAAATATACTCTCTTGCAATTAATGGCTGACATCATGTCTTTTAACATTCTTTAATGAAAGATTTGATTACTAACTGGAAATTATCAGTTGTTACTATTTTCACTCTTACTTTTTAAGAATCTGACTTATTATGTCTAGCATTATCTCGTATACTAATTTAGCTCTTCAGATGGATCTCACCATAACAGTGGTCAATTTGCTTATTTCAACTAGAACAAGGTGATCAGTGTTGTGTATACAGATTTTTCGCTACAATTGGATGTGCCATCTGATTCTTCTTTTAGGACATCGATCAAATTACGTTAATGCGACCGCTATGTAAATATGTGGCTCGAATAACATTAATAAGGGATATTGTTCCAGTCTTGAAGAAGGCTTTACATATTGCACAAAGTGATTCACCGGGTCCTTGTTTTATTGAAATACCAGTTGATGTGCTTTATCCATTCCATGTTGTAAGAAAAGAAATAAATTGTATGAATGTTGGACGTTTTACAGAGGTGAGATTTTATTTAATAAAATTTATATCAACCTAGTTCTAGAATTATAGTTTCCCTTTTAGTTTGATTATTGGTGAATCTTGTATTGACACTATCACTACTTTTTATTTATATAGTGTTTTTGTTTAAGAATAATACTTAATAACTCTTTTATATATGGTTTCATTGATATTATTTCAAGAGTATAGTTTCGTTATGCCATACTTTTAAAAGTACCCGCTTTTAAATTCCAATTTTTCAAAACTTTCAGAATCTGTTGCAAACATACTTGATAGCACATATTTCTCGACAGTTCAGTGGTGGTTGGTGCATAAAGCAAGACATAGCACCTATACCAGTTACATATAAACTTCCTCATGGCGAAGATATTAAAAAATTTGCTCATTTATTGATGGAAGCTGATAAACCAATATTGATTCTTGGTAGCCAAGCGCTTTTAGCTCCCATTAAGGCAAAAAAATTACAGAAAGTTGTAAAAGTAAGCGTGATGACTGCTTGTTATAATATTTCGATCATTCAGCTAACGGTAGTAGTTTATTTTCGTATCTAGATTGTATTTTATATAAATCAATCAAGAATACCTAAACTGTGTTCATATGAAATTAAGACACGTAGCCTGTTTTATTCAAAATAAACTTTCTGTATAAAAAATGGATGTGAAATAAATTACTAATAGTTTACGGTCCAGCGAAAAATTGCAAAAAACTGATCGAAAAACACTCATTTGTTTTTGTTTAGTTTCAAATTTTCACTACTTCATTTTGCAGGCTATCAACATCCCAACGTATTTGAGTGGCATGTCGCGCGGATTATTGGGGCATTCAAATGCTATTCATTTCTCCCATACTAGAAAATTAGCTATGCAAGAAGCCGATTTGATTATTCTTGCTGGTTCATTAACTCTTTGATTCTGTGACCTACTTTTTCAACTGAAATAGTTGAGCATGTTATTTTTGCAGGCGCAGTATGTGATTTCCGTCTCTCTTATGGACGTTCATTTTGTTCACAAACCAAAATAGTCTCTATAAATCGCAGTCGAGCGCAAATGTTAAAGAATGAGGGTATATTTTGGCGAGCTAACTTGGCTATTCAGGCGGATGTTGCCACTACACTAGTCAATTTGCATGCATTTCTCGAATCAGTTGATTACAAAGCAAGGCTTTTTTTTGTTGTTGCATGATCCAATACATTCGAGATTTATTATAGTTTCATTTAAAAATAATTAGCAGATTACTTTACCAATCTTTCTTTCTGTCATGAATACTTGCTTTACTAAGTTAGTAACAAATTTCAATTCTGAGCTCTTATCATGTTTTAAAAAGGTACAATTGTTTTATTATTTAGAATAAGAAGTTAATTTTTTGTACAAGGGAGCCTATAAGCCTTATGATAATTTTAATAAATGGTTTCCATTATAGTCAATGCTTACGAATATGTGATATGAATCTTTCAGTGTTCTCCTATGATAAACGGTTGGAAATCTTATCTAGCAACAAAAGAAACGGAAAACAAAACGTCACTTGTGCAAAAAATAATTGACGGATCTTTAGAAGAAGAAATTAACCCTCTGTGGGTATTATCACTAATTGACAAGGTCAATGACATTTTCACTGCAGTAATTTGTTTATCATACAGAAGTTTCAGATTTTCACGATGTCTTTTGTCATTTAATTTTCATATTACAGATCTTGCCAAAAAATGCAATTGTGGTAGCGGACGGTGGGGATTTCGTTGGTACCGCTGCTTACATTTTACATCCAAGAGGACCATTGCAATGGCTTGATTCTGGAGCCTTTGGTACGTTAGGAGTTGGAGCTGGTTTCGCTCTCGGAGCAAAAGCTGTACGTTGCATCTCAAAAACATTGAAACTTGATGTTGCTGAACAACGGTTTCAAAAATTACGAGAGCACTATGAAAATCCTATTTTTTTCGAGCGGTTTTTCTTTCTTCAGTGAAACAATGGAACTATTTACTGCTGATACTGTTGGGCTTGTTTCATGTATCCATATGAGTATATTTCTAATAACTAAATCGTGAATTATGATGGTAGTCGATAGATTTTGTATTTCTGCAAATTGTGATCTTAAAGAATCACTGAAAGTGCAGAAAAGTTTAACGATTAATAAGATGCTAAACTGGAAATATTCCCTGCCATATGATTTACTGCATTCCTGCATAGGAAAGAATCTTGTAGTCCTCGGTAATAACGTTTTTGGCAGGTGTTTGTCCTTTTGTGATTACTTCAAGTATATTTAAACTTTTTATAGGTTTATCCTAATCGGCCAGTCGTAATTATATATGGTGATGGTGCATGTGGATTTTCACTGATGGAATTCGATACGTTGTCACGCCACAAACTTTCTGTTATTGCAATTATCGGCAATGATGCCTGCTGGTCGCAAATTGCTCGTGAGCAAATCGCCATGTTCGATAGTGATGTGGCTGTTAATCTGTCGGTATAACATTTAGTTCTTTCCTACATAATGTAAGACCATTGGTATTTCAATTTTAGTGCAGTATAAAAATATCACGCTAGTACTCACAAAATTTGTGAAGGAAGTCTCATTTTGTTTGAAATTTCGATCTTACCCATTTTGCTTCGTTGTACTGAAAATGCTTCCTTGTTTACCACTGAAATCATAATAAATTTTTTCAGCGTGCAAGATACGATATTGTTGGCCTTGCACTGGGAGTTCAAGGGGAATGTATTTCAGAAAAGAAAGAACTATCAAGAAAAAAGCTAGAAAAAATATTCTCATCGGCAAAAGATGGGGTTTCGGTTATTGTAAATGTCATTATTGGGAAATCTCATTTTAGAGATGGTAGTATTAGTGTTTAGATTTTTATAGCAAGCAGTAAATACTAATATTACATATCAAGAGACGTAACAGTGATCCATTAATTTCTGAAACTCTTCAGAAATTTTTTCGCTTTATATACGGATCAAAAGACTTCAAAAAATTATGATCGAGGGCTGATTAGCTGATTTAGGGTATGAAAAACGTAATAGTAGCTCGTTAACTTGATATACAGATTTAGCTGCTGCAATTTTCCATAAAAATGAATAGAATAGAACTTTAAAATTAAAGTGAGAGCTATGAACATTATAATTTTTGATTTATATGATATTTAGAAAACAAATGAATACTCTATATTTGACTCTGACACTTCAATAATATATACATCGTGTTCGGTGAAATGGTACAACATTCTCAATTTGTGCAGCGTTTTTTCGTCGGTAAAGCCATAAAAAGTTGTCTACATACATGGCATTCTGCGTGAGACTACTATTCTTAGTAGCTTTCTTCTTAACTGCCGCAACTATTTCCTGGAAACTAATGTACATTGACAGTACATTACAAAGAATTTTTTGTGTTCGATAACATGATCTCCTGTGCTGGTATATTTCTTTTAATTCTGATCGACCTAGTTTGTTGTAATAATGTAATAAAGACAAACGTCGCAAGCTTTGATTGAAAACGCCCGCAGTTCTACTTCATGTTCAGAGCCATTTTCTAGTAATGTGTTTGCTCGTAGTGTTTTCATGAGTTTCGGAGAATACTTCAGTACACCAAGGAAACTGAGTACTTGTGGTACTCTATAGTCCGCAAACATGGTCAAACTACTGTAAAAAAAAAAAAGTCTGGAAGTCGTAGGCACTTTGAGAGGCAAATAAATGACTGTCGGTATCTTTTTAATTTACTGGAGAATTAATTCCTAACCTGATGTCATGAAAATTGCATGTGTCGTCGATACGGTGCATACATAAATATATGTCGCTAGCGAGGATTTGTGCTCGTTTGAGAAATGAAACTAGAAAACTACGTCAGTTCAGTTTATTTACAGCACAATTATAGACTCCAGATATTTTGTTTTTAAATATCAGAGCAGTTATTTTAGCTACTTTCATTTCACCTCAATACACAGTAACACATCAAATTGTAAGGATTGTATGCACTTTAAAATTAACCATTTCTGTAACAGCCGTCAAAAATGTTTAGAGATCTTACAATTATCGGAATAATTTTTTCAGTCACAACACCAAGAATTTGTTCAGAAAAAAAATTGCCTACCTTCTTGTCCTTTGTAAACTGCAAAATCACGAAAACTTTCAAAATGTTCCACCACATCTTCCACTAGTTTAATAGCACTTTTACCACATTTCAATACGCAATTGTAAAACATTCCATCGAATTTCTACCAATATCTCATGGTTTTATTAATAGTGCGACTTCCCCCATTTGGCCAAAAAGTTTACAATAAAATATAAATGAAAGAAGATGCTTGAAATTTTATACCTCTTTCAGCACTCTCCCAGCTTCATTCATCACTTTTACCCGCTCCTTCAATAAAGGGATTTCACTACCTGAAAAACTACTAGTCTTTGTGGGTTCATAGCATTGCACACTTTGAAACTGTATATAAATTGTAAGTCCAGTATACATTACAGAAAGAACGGTCACGTTGCTAGATCACACAATTCTAAATTCATTCAATAATGGCTGTAGAAATATATGATACTATAATTATTGATAGTAATAATAATAACCAACCATCATCAGTTTTGAAGATTTCTCTCATATCGTCACACGTCACTTTCTCCAAATAATTAGCAGAAGTAATTGATATGTTTGATTCTAATGCTCTATTAACACATGCACAAGCAGCAAGGTAACCCGTATATTTTTTTCCGTGAAACGTGACTTGGAATTTCGTTTTATCATCAGACCAAAATGAGAAATTGATAGTATCAACTAGGAAAATCCTTTGAAAAAAAAATGAACTCGTTAAAATGGTCAAATCGAGTCTGCTTGAATTATTAACATTAAATTATCTTTGCTAACACACTTGATATTTTTAAAAAAACAGCGATAATCAGCCTGAACATCTTTGCTAACAAAATTTACCAGTCAATAGCTTTTCGATCTGCTTTTTGTGGGTGAACATCAATTGAAAAATACGAAGCTTCAGTGAAATCACCACTTTCTTCAGCATCCATTATCTACAAATTATGTTTACAAAATATACATACTTTAAATCATACAAATTTGGTCAGGTAATCATGAAGTGCTAATATTTTAACCATTATCCTAGCTTACAGTTTTGCATAAAAACAGAGCTTTCAAAAATAAGATCATCATACATATTAACGATAACTTTTATTAGTAAATAATCTTACTATTGATTTTTTTAAAGTATTAAATGATTTAGCAATATATAGAATTATATATCTATAAGAACGCACAAGTTTAGCCACTTTTTGTATACCTTCTTCAGATAATTCTATATCACCACCACAATTTGCAACAATAAACTCTGCACTTTCACGTGGACATAATCGATTCATTTTACCTTAAATACCAGTTGAAACTTTGTATGTGTTCCAAACGACACCAAATCTTTCTCTGAAAAAAAAAAAATTTACAAGAAAACTTTCAAGCATAATTTGCTCTTACTGATCTAACTTTCTATTGTTTATATCTGTAACAGCAAACAGTTTCTAATTTTCGGATCAAAAACGAAAAGAAATGACGTAGCCGACGTCTATGACCAAATAATAAATGGAATACAAGAGATTAAATCTCAAAATTGCATACACACAATATCGATAGCATTTCAATTGAACCCCTCAGTAACTATTAAAGATGTGCATATTTCAATAGGTAAAGCATTTATGCAATACAAAAATATATACAAAATATAGGCATATTTACAATAAAAATCCACAATTAGTACTAAATAATTTACAATGTTCCTCTCTTGATTACCAGCAAATAAACAACCGTACTGGTACTGCAACAACCTTAAACGATCAATCGATAATGACTCACTAAAAAATGAAACCCCAAATTAATCATATACCGATAACAACTTTGTAAACTTCAACAAATTCCACAAATTCATACATTTTTAGTAACTCACAAAAATAAAATATTGAACTAGAAATAAGTTCGCCACATATCTACATACAAAAATAGATAGTCTTTTCAAATCATTGACCCGTGCTAAAAAACCAAAAATCTACTTTTTCGAATAATTGATGAAAGTTTCCATGTTCTGACATAATTTATCTTGCAAGCAATGATGAACTTTTAGTAATTAAAGAAATTGTTATAATCGAGATCAGACTACAATCATCGAGCACGGGAAAACGAGTCTAATAAACGAGAATCAAGCATAAGTGAATGGCACATATTAAAATTGCAATGAACACTGAAAAAGTTTCATCAACGGTTGTACTGATGCAGTAAATCAGTAACAGTACGACAGTCAGTGCATTCAAATGATTCTGAAATTGATATTAATTAGTTATCACTGAATTTTTACAGAATTTCTAAAGCATCCGTACAATAAATTATCATTACAATAAATTTTTTTAATTATGATTCGAATGCATGACTAACTATATGTAAAGGCATTTTAAACGGAGTAAAAGAATTATAGAAGTACTCAAACTGTGATGACAAAATTAGAATAGCATCTAGTCATTCAATGCCAAATTTTGCTTATGACTTCAATAGTGATTTATAGATCAGTAGGAGAATTGATGAGTAAGCGAAGAAAATAAAAGAATAGAACAAATTTAGTTTATACTAAATTAATAAGTCAATCAGAAACATGATCAAGAGAATTTGAAGCCCTAGTTTGATCAGATGGAGCAAATGAGCATGATGAGCAGAAGAGTAAATGTGCTGAAAAACTACAGCAAATGAAAATACATTTTTAAAATGGAAATGAGAGTTACAGTTCATAATACAAATAGGTTTTTTGCTTCTAAAATATATTCTAACAAACAGATATCAAACTGTTAGGTGCAGTCTATAGTTAAATATTGTAGTCTGATACCATAACTCAGAATGTATATCTCAATATACAACAGATTTGTCGCAGTACGAATACTGTTACATAATGTAGTAAGAAAATGGTCAAGGTCAATCACAAGACACTGATCCATGAAAATTAGTCGTATGATAACACAAATTTTAAATTTTGGTAATTTCAAAATTGCTACGATCCTCCAAATCACATCCCATTTTTTCTGCAGCTGCATATGCCTCTTCCCGTACAGCTTTTGAATGATCTGCAGCCCACAAATATGCCAAATATTTTAACGCTTCCACGGACTGAAATGTGTCACTGCTTAAGTTTAGCATATATACATCAAAGTACTACTTCACTAATCGTTGTTCTGAGAAGAAAATCAAAAATACTTGCTTTTTTACGCTTTTGTAGTAGTATCAGTAACTTGTCTCGTAAGCTTTGTTTGTAGATTTATAGCATTTTTATAACTTATAAGTATATTAAAAACTTAGTAAACACACAATTGCAACATCTAATGAAGGAAACATACTCGAAGTATTCCCAAAGCACGGCAAGCACCTTTTCGACTCTGTTCATTCTCATGTTCCAAAAGACAAATATAACACATCACCAGATCAACGTGCATCTGCCCACGTGCAGAAGTGAGATAACCTTCTAAACTAATTCATCAATAGTACTGAATCTATGAATCATAAGAGCTATACTATTAAATATTACATACTTCAATATTTTTGAAACGAAAACAATCATCTTTAAAAAATGAGCTTAATTTGATTCATTGTAGAATAAATATTAAGACCGTAAACTAACCAATAATTGACTGCAAATGACGATCTGGACAAACTAGAACGAGTGAAATATGTCGTAAACTTTCTAATGGAGGAACAACTGGGACCTGAGATAAACGATCCATGACTACTTTGACACGACTTACCTGACGTGTGCTGAGCTCTGAGGTTATTAAAGCTGGAATATGCATATATCTAAAGTGGCAAAATTTAAGAACTATTGCTTTTTAATTTCAAAGTTTAAAAAATTGGTTAAAAAATGGCTAAACTGAGTGAACTTTATCCATCAAAACCAAAAAATGAAATGATACCTTCATGGGCTAAATTTTCGACAAATGAAATAACATGCTTTCCACGGAATAAACCGACAAACTGAAAAATCGTAATATGCTCTGGTTCCCATTTATTTTTGTCCGTCAATAAGGACATTACGGTGTCAACCACTAGAATATAAAAGTTAATGTAATGATAGTTAGCATAAAAATAGGCAACCAGCTACATTTAAAAATTTTGCAAATCAAAAAAATTTAAGGGTACACACCACTACTAACAAGATCAGGATATCGAGACTCAACAATTGATCCAAAATAACTTCGAATTTGTTGTCTCAAAGACTCTATTGGTACAATTAATGTAGTATTCAGATGAGACACTGTAGCAATCCATACTTCTTGTACTTTTACATCCCTGACGAAATCTTGTATGACTGCAATGAGTTATTTCAATAAAAACCCTTTGTTTTTTGTCATAAGTATGATAAAAAATAATTACGTAAGGTTACGGGTTCCAAAAATCTTAGCTTGATTTCTGCAAAAAATAATGCACAAAATGAGTTATAAAATCATTTTCATCAAAAGCTAACATCATTTACAAAGCCTGATTAAAAAATGATGAACTCCAAAAAACAAAAACAAAATAACAAATCAATGTAGGAAAAAGTACTTAACAAACCATTTTTTCTAACCAGTGACAAGGATGGTGATTTCGCAGCCAATTTTAGTAGTTCACTAAGAGTGGACGTTTCTTGTTCTAGCCTTCCTAACATTTGGTTTTCTCGATATTCCAATGGTCCACAGATACTTGCTAAAGTCTGAAACACATAATAAATAAGACGAAGCTTGATGTGTATACAGTTTGTTACCTTGTCGCATTAACAGATGAACCAAGTGCTTAATAACTGTTTTATTACAGTGAAAAAATGAATAAATTCCTTTGACGAACTTTTGCCTCATGGATAGGTTTTTAATGATGGCTGGATAGTCCTTAACTGATAATAAACATTAACATTTCGAGTCCTTGATGAAGGATTGAAGTAATATACTTAAATGAGGTAATCAAACCTTTAATATAAGCAAACAACGTTTCAAATGATGTCTAAGGCAGAGATGTAATTCAAGAGATATTCCATCAGGCATCGTTCGACTCCATAAATTACCAAGTGAACAACCACTTGACGAACTATTTGAACTAGATCGTAACCATGATTCACAAGAATTTCCGAAGCGCTTATTTTCTGTAGTCAAATCGAGAACCCCTCCACAAGATTTTCTTCTTTCCTTTTCTTTCATCTGAAGCAAAATCAAGTATGTTTCTGAAAAAATTAAAGCATTATTCTATACGAGTTTAAGATTACCAACTCCTCAACTTTCACCTGTCTGAATCGTCGTTGAGATGGACCTGAACCAACGACGCCAGAATTGTAACCAATTCTATCAATGGTTGCGCAATTATTACCATTGAACGGCGAAATATACTGTCGAAGTGAGTCGATACCACTATCGTTTTCACATCTGTAAAATAAAACTTAACAAAGTTAGGCACGCACCTTCAATCAGTAATCAACACGTTGAGCAATGAAAACTAATAGTCTAAATACTTTGTAACCAAAAAAAAATACATTGCAATTAGAAAACCTCATGAACATTGTTATACATTTCCAACATATATAAATATAAAAAATACTCTTCCCAAACAACTTCTACTTGGTTAACAATTTTTTGTCAAACTAACGTTTGTTCGCCAGAGTTATAAGCTAAATTTTCATCATTTTCATTTAAATGGTCACGATCGATGACATTAAATGCAGAGTTTTTTTGGTTGCTTGATCCTTCATTTATTCCCTGAAAAAATTCCTATACTGACAAATCGAAACTTCCAATTAAAAAGGAAAAAATTTGCTTCATGCAATTACCTTTATTAATTTTTCCCAACGATTCAAGCATGCCTTGTAAATAGAAATCTCTGGGTGTTTGAAAATCAAATCAGCAATGAATGGTTTGATTAACTCGATTAGATACAGCAAATCAGCCTCAGTTGGCACTGGGGAGGGTAAAGAGATGCGCTCATAAAAAGTATTGTGCTTTGCATTCGATGTAATTTGTGCTGCTCCTACTGAATACCTCCAAATATCGTTTACAAGCATTGAATCAGTTCTTGTTGCTAATCCCAACCGTTTTACAGGTAATGCTTCTACCTTCAAATATTTTGCCAATATTCATTCTTACTTCTGACAGTAGCAATTTATAGGTAAAGATAAAGAATGATAAGCCATTCCAGTAATTTTCAGTAAACACAAGTACATCATTTCTTCATTATTCTATGATTAATTCGCTTTTACTAAGAAAAGATCAAACTTTTTTGAAATAAAATTATGACAAAAAGCAAAGTCATATTTACGTAAAAAAGTAAAAATTAACCGCATCGATATCAGGAATTGACTTGCTTATTTCGTCGTACACACTATCCAAAATATTTGTTGATGACCGCCACATTTTCTTTTGTCTCATCAACTGATTACCAAATTTTTTCTCTCGAAGTATATGTTGTGATTTTGAATTCTACAAACACTTTAGTATAAATATAAACCAGTCCAAAAAGCCAATGTATATACATAAGTACTGTAATTTCGTCAAAACATACGTTTTGGTAAATTTATACAAATTTGTGCCCAAACAAAACTAAAATAATTTAAATCTTAAATCTTGAGTTAGGAAGTAACGATACTTCTACCTGATTAGAGCTATGAGGAACGGCTTCAGTACTGGTTGACACATTATTTAAAGCATTATTAGCAGTGAAGACTGAATCATATACATGGTTTGTTATGCTTACATTCTCAATATCCGTCAATGGTCTAAAAATTCGAGAGATAATTCATAAGAGCGCAACTATGGATATAAGAAAAATATTTAAGAATTTAATTTTCGGGATTTTTAAATGTTCACACAACAACTCAAATCTACTTCATCCTAAAAATAAGGATGATATCATATCTGTAACAACTTTTGAACTTATTTCCTATTGCTTTTTTCCTTCATCTAGTTTTGCAATACTTAAAGCGATAGGCTACAAATTTGACCAAAACTATCCATGACTATAAAAATTATTAGTGTCATTCGAGTATTCAGCGCTACTACTACTTCGATAAATGAAACCAGATAAAAATGAACACTAATAATTTTATGGTCAATAATCAATCACACTTCACTTGGTTCACTGAATGCATATTTGTGCTTCTAACATTATAATATAGCTTCCATAAATGACTCAGTAAATGAAAACTTACATCCATCGAGTTATTAATTCTAACTTTAATGTTCCGATTTGATTCAAACCAATCGTAACTAATTGTGGTCTAGCATAAAAAATATCGATCGGATCTAATGAGCGTTCACACAACGTTTTAGATTTGAAAAAATGAACTTCTGAAGCCTAGAAAATTAATTCTCAAAGGTAAAATCCGAAATATGAAAATATTACTAAGATTTTTTTTTTTGAACAGAACATTTTGCATCAATGATTTTTAAGAAGCATGCCTTGATATCGATAGGGCAGTTCTGATGGCACTCAAAAAGGAAAATTGAACGGTCCCATATCTGAGTTCGATTTGCTTGAGTTTTACCACGTGTTTTCCATTTCTGTAAACCGTGTTTGATTGAAACTTCAAACGCATCACCTGGTGTAATACGAGCAAAACCCGCGATCGCTGCAAAACTTCCGTTGTCTCTAATTACTTGAATAAAGCAACTAATATCAACATGTTCTGTTAAATCAACTAAATTACTTACAGTGAAATTTTCAAGTATATTTCCGCATAATCGGTAAAAATAACAAAATTAAAGTTTTGGATTGCATTTGCTCTAAAAACTGAGATGTAAATAATGAAGAGAGTGAATGTTATGCAAAAATTTGTGGTATGAATTCATACAAATTATATATAGCTGAGCAGAACTGATGTAAGTGATGTTTTAGCTGGCATATAATAGGAATTACATATTTTTAGGTTTGATATTTCTCTAAATATTATGGACGAAATAGTCTCCCTAAAAAACATTTGAAAATTTAAGAAAATCAGAGCACAAACCACGAATTTTGATTTCCATGTGCCCAACCATGTTTTGTAACTCGCATTCGAAAGTTGCAGCAATTTGATTGTAGCGTTTTTTGAGTCGATAAATCCCGAATGATGAGGTGGAATGTGTTATATTGTTTATAAGTCTCAAATCTCCAACTGATCCACTCACAAGATGCGAATTAATTTCTAAAAAGCAAGTCATAGTGCCGAATTGTAAAATTAATATAAGATGATTTTGAAAATGTAGAAATAATTATCTGAATCCTTACTAAAAATGCTTAAAATCGCAATTTATGCTTTCAATAAATTTAAAATAGCATCTAACAAAGTGTGGAAAAAAAGTATTTTATGGATATTCAATGTGAACTTTTGCGCTCAACTTTTTCTCTTCCACTATCCGTAAAACAGTAATACAAAAGATTGCATGAAAAAATTGGATGAATTCTAGAAGAGAAATTATTGCTTTACTTATTCTTTTTAATAATAGAATGACACATGATGGTGGACTAAATTATGAAAATTGGTAGATTCCTTTCATAAAAACAATTGCAAATTTTAATCAAATTAAAGAAGTCAGAATATTTGCTGAAAATACAGGCTGGTGAATTAAGTCTGGAACATTGAATCTTTGAAATTGGAATGGATTATAAATTATTAATTACAATCACAAAACCCAAGTAGACATTTACACACGCTTTGAATAATTTTTATGACATACGTGCACATAGTTTACAGCCAATTAGTATAAAAATGAAACAGAATTGATGAGAGTTATTAGTTTGAATTGATATGATCTTCATTACATGTTCCTAGGTTTGATATCCTTCTGATTGCTATGGAAGTAGTTGTACTTTTTTGAAAACTAAAATGCAATAGCTCTCCAACTGAAGACTTATAACGATCATTTCAGATCAAAAGATATTATTTCAAGTAACGAATTTCAGCTAAAAAATAAGTTTTACAATTGCTAGCCATGAAAAGTCATCAAACTAAGTGCACACAGATAATTAATATGCTAATTCTAAACGAAATCCAATTAACAACGAATATATCTTTGATGTGGTCACTAATTGCCTGAGTATCCATTTGCTTCTTATGTTAACCACTCAATTAGAGCCTGCATTCAATTACACAGCTTTTTCCCTAAAATTGAGTGATAATTTTATCATCAACTAACTTGAAGTAAATCCCAAACACGAAACTCTATTACTTCTGAAGAAATAAAATCTCTTACAAAAACAGAGCACAATAAGTACTGAAGAGAACTATTACCAGAAACAGTTCATAATATCTAATTAAAATGATAGCTTACAAGAATTCAATGAAAATGAAATGTTAAACGTTAAAAAGAACGATAAATCATTCAAGAGCCATTAAAAACTCCAATTAAGAATTTAAATTATGCAAATTTTCCAACTAGGGAATTTGAATGGACTAAAATCTTAATAAATTAGATATTTAAATCCTCATTTTCTATTAGAATATTAATAGTGAAAAAACTTGTCAACAGACACTCAAAAACAATAATGAATACCACAAAATTGATGAATAAAAAATATAGAAGCATAGTAACCTTTCTACTAAATTCATTTTACTACCCAAACTTATAAAGTAATAATTCTTCGTTTTCCTTCTCGAAAGCAATAGAATTTAATTTCTGTGGTGCTTACTATTTCTTTGCAAATGTATGGTTTGTTTCTAAATCTGTTTTTGTATGCACATCTCCAATCGAACTATTTACATTTGAATAAACTACCACAAATATATGGAAACTTCATTAACATACTTACATATATCGCTAAAAATGTATTTCTTGTCTGAAAGTGATGCAAAGCGAAACGAAAATGTATGTATGCAAGTAATGCTGAGAATGAAAGTTAATTCTAATGAACCTTATTTCTTTAGCAAAGAAATACTTAAAAAACAATTCATAAGGTACAAAATGAAATGATAACTTGTGATCAGTTAGTTAATTGTAGCAATAATCGTGTCGACTTCAACAGAACACATTTTCCATGTGCACGTAATACTACTTAAAGAAAGACATAGTTTTCAAATAATTTGAACTTTCTAAGAAAAACGTGAATGATGTGACTGCAAAACAGCAAACACTGATAATCAAAGCAGCACAAAAACTTTCTTTGAATGATGCATACATTTTAATTTCTTGACAAAAAATGTTTTAAAACAAGATGTGTAAAGCAACTTTATGATATCTTAATTTGGTCAAAATTACTCACTAGCTAACTAAGCTCGATAAAATAAAATGTCCAAAAAATATTTTATCATTTTATCCTGGATTGCAGAAAATTATCTCGATTTACCTTTCGATTTGTTGAACTCGGTTATACGTTCAATGTATTGACCACGAAGTTTCATAACTCGATTTGCATACTTTGCATACAGATTCTCATTTTCCTCTGCTTTTTTAAGACTCTTAAAGAAGGAAGGATCAATCATCCACAAAGATATCATGATAAATTAAAAGTGCTTAGATCCAGGAATACATTTAAAAAACTCTCGATCTAGTTTTTCGCAAACATCATTGTTAGAGTTACTGTAGCATGAGATTTATTAATGAAAATGAAAAAAAAATGGTGTTTCTTCTATCATTATAAGTTAATTGAAACAGTTAAATTAACCTCTGAAAGATTTTATTTCAAAACAATATGACACCTTGATAAAATTTTATTCTCAAAAAATATTTATAGCATTTTCAGAAAATATTTACTCTTCCACATATGACAATTCAGCGAAGTAAATGAGAGAGAAGTTCTGAAATCTTCAATCTTCATAACATATTCGTAAATATTTTGTACTCTAAAGCAGCAAACAAACCCAATCCACCAAAAAAGTTCATCTTAATTTTTTACCACTTTCATCAATTTTACATAAATAAAAATTAGAAACCAACATTTTGCAGCAATGAAATTACATGCGACTGATCTGTTTTCAATACTTCTAATTGAGCTCTCGCCCAAGTTGCTTCTGTACCATGATATTCAACAAATGAACTAAAATTCAATAAATCAGAGCAATGCACACTTCTTAAAAAGTATTTTTAATAAAATATAAGTTTGATACAGATTAAAATATCGAAAACAATGGTTGTTATCAAATTACCTGAAACCACGAATCAGCGCATGAAAAATTAATTCAAGTCGTTGTTGTGTGGATGTCTCAAACTGTTGCCCCTTCATAACGTGAACGAATGTCGTGAATGCGAGCCTAACACAACGTATATGAACTGGAAAGTACTAGCCATGCGTGTTTAAGTTTTACTTTTTATTTAAGTTTTAATCCCAATCACATTTTTTTGATACGTCGCAAATGACTTGAATCAACCAGAAAATAAAGACTACTATCAACTTATAGAGTGAAAGTCTCTTTTAACAATGATATCAGTCAACTTTTTCAAGTCCCAATGCAAAATTTTAGCGGAAGTGAAAAAGATAAATTTTTTCACAACAAATTTAAATTAGCGGAAAATTTGATTTTTCGTAATTTATTTGAACTTAAACGAAAACTGTTTGTGAATAAATGCTTTCTATTCTAAAAATAAGTTTACAACACAGACAAAACAAGCAAAAAGAAACGGTAAAAAGCAAACAAAGTAAATCGTTCATTTTTGCTATCGTAAACACCTGCCGCAAAAATTTAAAAGCAGAGATTAACGGAATAGCATGAAAAAAGATGTAAACGAGAACGTGAAATACCGATAGCAAAAATAATGTTTCCCGCCAGTGAAAGTAACATGATGAGGTCACAATGATCAGTGTAAATCTCATACGGTCTGTAGATGTGTTTATAACATAGCCATGACCTCGAAAGTGAGGCTGGACCCATAAAGGTCAGTCAGTGCAGAGCACGAGTCATTTTCAGTATGGCAAACAAAAGTGATATATTCATTCTATAGAGCTTAAGTACACTTGAGGTGAAGGTAGTAAAGTAAACAGTATTTGAACACATAATATTAAACCACATGCATCAGATTACTTTTTGCACGAAAGTGTAGATCTAAGAATTACGGGGAAGTAAAGAATGCATGTGTGTAGAGAATGCGTCTAACGTGAGTCATATTGGCTAAAATTCAAGTGATACGTGGGTTTCGATAGTTAACAAGAATGCTTGTTCAAATTTTAGATTAAAAGTTGTGCTACAAGTGATGTGAATCTACTTAATTTGCAAGATAAGTATTGAAATTGTAGACAATTTTAAATTCCCAAGAAAAAATTACTGGATAGCAAGTTTTAGAGGGAATTTGTGCGCAATAGTTGAAGCGAACAGTGATTGTAACAGTTTGAAATTTAATGTAAAATAAATGTTTAGGAGGCAAAAAAAGAATTTAAAACAAATAGACAAGATATGCTAATCTGAAGCATTCAATTTGATTGATAACTCATAAAATATTTTGTCCAATTTAAGCAATATATGAAAAACATATTTGATGTTTGTAGAAAGGAAATTCAAAATGGACAAACAAAAAGTTAAAAGAAAATGAATAAATATGAATGAAGCAGTAAATATTGTACATATAACTGTAGAATAGAGGTAATAATAATAGTATTTACAAAACTAATATTAATGATAACAGTCTAACTTTTTAAACCTGTCATTTCTGCTACTTATGTTCTATTAAGTACTAATTAAAAGTAATTTGAATTGCAAATCTGTTATGAATGATAACACTGAAGTATGATAAGGCGTAAGATGACATAATATGAGATGAGATGATATGATATGATACGATAAGACATGAGATGAAGTAGTAGTACATGACACTGTGCATTTCTGATATAAAAATTAATACTATATGCAGAGTTTGAAGTAAAAAATTATGGCAAAACAAGTAAAAAATTGAAAATATATGCAAGAAGGGAACAAATGTTTGAAATTGAAAAATAAAAAATAAAAAATAAAAATAAAAATATATTTAAAGTAATACAATGCAAAAACATTTTTCATCGTAAGATAAAAGTTGTTAATAACAAATCTAACAAATTCTTATTCTTGCATGCATTTATTTTAATTACTTAAACTATTTGCAGAGCATTGAAGCAGAAGTAAGAAAATAGCCAAAGTTAAAAAAGCATCATTAGAGTGAAACTGAAAGCAATCATATTCAGGGAGGTCAAACGATTTTATAGGATGGATAGTCTAACGTGCACATAAAATAAAATAGAAAAAGAATGAATAAGAAAT